TTTTGAATCTCAAGTCTTCAATTCCTTTTGGACTCTATTGTCCTCTTTCTCTGCTATGCGTTCATGGCTGGACATGATTTTTTTTTTTTTTGAGCAAAGCTGGACATGATTAAGATCACATGTTTTCTTTTCTCTCACTCTTTTCACTCATCTATTTTGTAGTTTAATTCAATGCAAGACCACTTGTTTAGCTGTTGCTTTCACAATGAGATTTGTATCCAAACTATGTTCTTTTTGATTACCATGTTTGAGTGTTATGAAATGAAATCCTTTGACAAAAAAATATCTACCCATGAGAAAGTACTAATAAGCTTTAATCCAAGATTGAATAGATGGAGAAAGCAAACTTTAGATCATAAACAACTCTGCAAACATGTTCCATAACACAAGTTGATTTGAAGATAGGAATTTGTATGGTCTTTGCTTTGATCCTTTGCACGAATGAACACTGTGTCTTATTCTTCTAACTTTGGCCATAATCTTAAAACTACACATTAACAATTACTCATACAATTAGCAAAAACAAAGTCTGTAAGAGCACCTCCAATGGTGTTACCACCATTAGAGTCCTTAAGTATTATTTTTTTTTTTTTGTAAGAATAGTTAAGGATTCTATCCCAAAAGGTGTGTCCAATGGTGTTACTTATTATGAAATCTTTAGGTATATAAAATTATTATAATTAAAAACAATAAAATTTTATTTATTAAAAAACATTAAAAATTTAAACATACAATAATTATACATTATCATCATTACCAAACTTGTTCCAAACATTTTCAACCAAGTCATTTTTCAATCGTTCATGTGTACGCCTATCACGAACATGATTTCGTATGCCAAGCATATTACCGAAATGTGAAGGCATGTTCGTAGTATAAGACATGTCGACCTGCGAAATTCGGCTCGAGTCTCCTTCTTCAAAGTCAGAAGTATCAAACTGAGTGTATCCGTCACGTTCATTTTCCACTATCATATTGTGCAGTATGATACATGTTCGCATGACCATCCCTATTTGTCTCTTGTCCCACAAAACAGCCGGGTTTCTGACTATAGAAAATCGAGCTTGCAAGACTCCAAAAGCACGCTCCACATCTTTCCGGGTTGCTTCTTGATATTTAGCAAATAACTCTGCTTTACAACCTTGAGGGAGTGAGATAGACTGGATAAATGTTGACCATTTTGGATATATACCGTCTGTTAGGTAGTACGGCAAATCATAGTGGTGTCCGTTGACAACGTAGTTCACCGGTGGAGCCCGACCGTGTAAAATGTCATAAAAAAAAAGGTGACCAATCGAGGACGTTAATGTCGTTTAAAGTCATGGGAGGACCAAAAAAAGCGTGCTAAATCCAAAGATCTTGTGAAGCAACAGCCTCTAAGACAATCGTGGGCTTTCCTGATCCACGTGTGTACTGTCCTTTTCAAGCCGTTGGGCAATTTTTCCACTCCCAATGCATACAGTCGATGCTTCCTATCATTCCTGAAAACCCGTGTATCTCTCCAATATTGAGTAGTCGCTGAAGATCCTCGGGAGTTGGTCTACGGAGATACTCCTCCCCAAATAATTGTATTACGCCTTCGGTGAAATTGGCTAAACACGAAAGTGTTGTGCTTTCACCAAGGTGGAGGTATTCGTCCACGGCGTCAGCAGCACAACCATACGCCAGCATATGAATAGCTGCCGTACACTTTTGTAGTGTAGATAGACCCATTCTTCCGACTGCATCTCTTCTTTGTTGAAAGAATGTGAAATTTTCAGGGAGACGATTGACAATTCGCATGAATACCTCCTTGTTCATGCGGAAACGACGTCTGAATAAATTAGGCGGAATTGTTGCATTCTCAGAAAAGTAATCATTCCACAGACGGGTGTCGCTCTCTTCACGGTTTCGTTCAATATAGGCACGTCTTATTTGTCTTCTTGTTCGATTCTCCACAATGTTGTTGTATGTATCTTCAAAACAGTCGTCGAAAGCCGCATCGAATCGTTGATCAAACTCATCTCCCATATTTGCATCCAATTTCTGCAAAACGGATAAACAACAATTTAGTTATAGCATCAGATTTTATTATAGTCTTATTATAGCATCAGATTTTATAAAACAACAATTTAGTTATAGCATTAGATTTTATAAAACAACAATTTAGTCATAGCATCAGATTTTATTATAGTCTTATTTAGTAAGTTGTATCATGAGACGAGTTAGAAAAATGATCACACTACAAGAATGAGACGAGTAAGAAGAATGATCACACTATAAATTATTAAGTTCAACATCGCACAAACAAAAGCTGCTTAAACAAAGCTGCTTAAACATTAAGTTGAACAAAATATATTAAAAAAGAGTAGTAGATAGCTTACAAACAGATACACAGATCCTTGAAGCAAGTTTTAAAGAAGAAGAGCAGTAGAGATAACAATTCGGAGACAACAAACATACTTATAAAAGGAAAAAAAGAACCCGTGACAAACCACTAATAAACAAAAGGAAATACAGCTGCTTCTGTCTTCAGTTGAAAACCCGTGACTTCATTTACTCCCGTGATCTTGTACTTCACTTGCAACAGCGAAAAAGAGATTCGTAAGCCAACTAATAAATATAACAAAACATCAAAACATATAGCACCAAAACATCAATTAACTTATACCATCAATGATCATAACATTTCAGACATTAACTTAAGTTTCAAAGTCATTTCCATCTCAGAGAGTGGTTCTTGCTTTGCAATCAAACTCGAAAGCAAACTCTCTTTAGAGATTTTGCTTTTTGGCCTCTAACATTAATTCTAGCTTAGCCAATTCTTCTTCTTTGGCACTTTTCTTCCTCTTGCATGATGCCTTAGCTGCTTTAACTCCTATGGGCCTCTTCTATGGCTCAGTGACAGACCCTTGAGCACCAGAATCAACAGTTTTCCTCTTCTCCTTACCACTGTCTTTCTCTAGATATGTTGAGCACGACTTCACATCATGTTTAAGCTCCTCCAGGCGTGTTCTAAAGTGAACTTACAGCCTTGGTCACTAGAGAACATCGTCAAAGCAGCCGACATAACCTCGTTGTCACTTTGGCCGCTTTTATGTTCTCTCAATGCCATCTCGTAGCATCCAGCAAACTTACACACAACATCACTGATCCTAGCCCATGTTTGCTTGCATTGGCCAAGCTCTCTTGGGACTGTACCAACCAGAAAAGGACTGGAGTTGTAGTACTCAACAATACTCTTCCAGAAAGCCCCTACTTTTTGTTCATTGCTCACAATGGGGTCCTTGCTCGTGTTGAGCCATGCACCTATGAGGATTATATCCTCTCTAGGTGAGCACC